GGTGCAATTTGATAATTTGCCTCTCAAATACGTGGTTTTGAGTGGATGCATACTTAAATGCCCCCACTTTGCTCCACATTTTTGCTCTATAAATGATGTCCACATGCTATATTATACACACCCACTTTAAAGCCCTCACTTTAAAACCCACCCCACTAAAAAAAAATTGGGATCCTCTACTAATAAATAGTGCTCATAATATCTCCTAATAAAGAGATCTTGGCCTTTGATTTATCAATCGAATGCTAAGATCTCATTCTCCTCCCCCTCCTACTTTTCCTCATGAGGAGATCTTGGCCTTTGATTTATCAATCAAAGACCAAGATCTCATTAGGAAATCTTAGAAAGCCTCTCATTAGTAGATATCCCAATCCACTAAAAAACTCACCGTAAAGATCTTTGGTGCTCCATTAAAAATCTTAGGTCATTACACTAATTATGCATCCACTAATTGAGAAAAAGTTGTATCTGACAACGTACCTGTCATGTGAGAATGTCCTTACAAAAAAAAACTTGACATGAACAAAACATAAATTCTATAAAAATTCAACTTGACATCACTTTTTAGAAACCCCAGATTCACTGTGACCAATATGTCTTCTAAAAACAACACCAAAATTTCCACTTCACGGACAAAACCCCACAAAAACTTAGGGGCATTGTAATTTATTCCCTGTGACTTACATGGAACGTGAGCGTTCAATGTTCATGATGTAAACTTTGGCTCAAGTGAGACAAGTTCTGAGGGGTTAAGTGGAAAAACAAACAAAGTTTTGAGCGATTAATCCTATGAAAAAATGTCCCTGCTCGAAATCAAACGAAAATGGCGAATCTCCTCTCTCACGCCCGTCGCCGTGCCTTCAGCATCAATCGATCTCAAACGCTAGCTTTCCTGCGATCCTTTTCTTCACCTTCCCCATCTCAAACCTTAGCATCGTCGTTCCGGCGGCCGTGGACTCTCGAGGACACAAGATTCGTCAACGGCGTGCCCTCATTCAAGGTCGATTCTTTCCTTCTGCTCCCTTAAAAGTTCAGATTTTGACGGCTTTATATGGTTCGAATTCGTGAATCTGTTGATAATGATGAATGCCTAAATTCCTTTCCGCGTTTTCTTTGGTTTCCCTGTCTAATTCTCAAAATAGAAATCTTGCATTGATATTTATAAACCTAATGCTGAGTATTTGCAGGTTACTTCTCTGTTTGGGGCTTACAAAAAGTTCTGTACTTATCATGAAGCGCGAGAAAGTGAAGGCGTTATCCCGTCGGAGTTGTTAACGAGTAAAAATGCAACGGCACCTAATCGAACTATAGGTATTTGCTGAAAATTCTTTATTCAAAAGTTTCTTGTTTGAAACAAATATGGACTTATAGCTCATGGGTATAATGATTTCTACAATTTTGTCATTCCATTTGATAAAATTATTAACTTGGGTCATCCATCGAATGATTGTTAATTACTAAAACAAATAACTCGTCATTTTTATTTAAGCTAGGTTCAGGGGATATCCTTAAGACCCAGAAGCGAGAGTACTAGTTACGGATACCAATTCAACTTGCTATTTGGGTTTTTTTCACATGTGTGCTTTTGCTATTTCGTTATAAATTGGACCCTTTTAAATTTTTATAGGTTCGCTTAATTACTCATGTAATAAATAAACTTTGGTGTCTTATGTAGTTCCTCCTAGTAAAAAATTGAGAAAATTAGCTTGGTTTACTTTTTTGAAAAAACCTTTCTAGTTTGACTAACAGTAAAGCACTTCTTTATTGAAAAAAACTCTTTATGGCATATTAGTTTTGTGTAATCAAATAACTGAGGATTGTTTTAGTTTTATTTTGAACAATTTTTCAAAACAGCCCCATTTTGTTTTTTAATTATCAAAACCGACCCATTTTTTTTATATCAAAACCGACCCACTTTTTGCAAAGTTAGCCTAATCACGCTCCTAAACAGTCGGGGTTGCCAACCCCGACTGTTTATGACATAATTTTTTAGGGTTTAAGGCTCCTAATTAGGGTTTAACACCCTCCTAAACGGTCGGAGTTGGCAACCCGACTGTTTAGGAGGGTGATTAGGCTGACATGGCAAAAAGTGGATCGGTTTTGGTAAATAAATAAAAAAATGGGTCGGTTTTGATAAACAAAAAATAAAATGGGGCTGTTTTGAAAATTTGTTCTTTTATTTTTTACCTGCAGTTTATACTGTACTTTCCTTCTAGGATATTCATTCCCTCTAGATATAAACTAGGCTTTAAGCTACATATAGAATCATAGAGCCTCTGAGTACTACATAGGTCTCGTAGAACCTCTGAGTGGTACATAGGTCCTTTAAATGTCGGATAGAAGAAAGATTATCATCATGTAGTAGGTCCAGGCCCTTCATTTGCATTCGTAAGCTTGCTTGATCCAGTTGGGGAACTGTTTTTGTTGGACATGAATAGAGGTGCCCAGGCTGTGATCAAAGCTGTCGAGATATGCCATGTATCTTCTTTCATATTCCCTATCTCGTATACAGTATCATATATTGTATCATAATCGATAAGATAAATTTTCATGGATACAAATAGTTATGTCATTAAGTATACCCTATATAACAAAAAAAATGAAAGGTTTATAACATGGAGTCATTCATTGATAACCCCGGTAAAATGATAAATGACATGCACTAGCCTATAAATTACTGAATCAAAATCAGTCGAAGGTAAATTACTTAATTATAACATAAACATGAAAACTAAACTTGGTACTGCATGTGATAATTTTTTTATCACTATCATTAACTTCATCATGTGTCAAATATCACTCGAGCAAATCCAATGATCACAATGCCATCAACTAAGCTGAACCCAGGAAATTCTCAAACAAATTATTTTCACTGATCCTCTAAAACAATTTTTTTATATTATAAAATGCTCATTCTATTGCTTTTAAGCAGTGTCAAAAGATGAACACAAGGCCATGACCATCATGAATTGCTCCTTATCTAAAACAAAATTTTGCTCTTGATTCTCGGTGCTTACCTGCCTAGAAATTCCAGTTTCGCCCCTAAATCGGTGAATGTCTCATGATGCCTTTAGTTGGAACTTTCACAAAAACACCTGTGCCATTGTCAAGTTCATGACTTGCTGATTGTTCATATTGGTTTATTTTTCCTTCTCATGCCTAAGTTGAAGCTTTACTCATTTCTTATCTTAGTCTATTTTTTTCCTTCTCTTGCCTAAAGCTTGTCTAAATTAATTCTATTGTTGCAGGAGAATATGCTGACCTAGTAATGAGAGTGACCAACTTTCAAAATGAGGACAAGGGTCTCATTGTCTTGGCTGGTGATGTTTTTGATGTGCCCATTAAGAAGGATACAATTCACCAAGTTGTGCGATGGCAGCTTGCCAAACGACAGCAGGTATTTATAACTAATAGTCTAAGAGATTATATATTTAAATTTCTGTTTGCAGGATGCTATTAGCTTTATTTTGAACGTTGCATTTGCAATTTATGTGGAATTTAATTCTACAATTTTGACAGGGTAAGATATGATCATCATCTAACGTTTATTGTTATCTTTGCTTCTCATTTGCTTTTGTGTAGTGTACTCCTTGATTTTTTATACATAATACGGTAGCAAACTAGAAATTAGAAATTTTTTTTCTAAAATAAGGATGGAAACGTTGTACCATTGAAACTCTAAACAACTACTGAAATAAGGAGAATCCACAAATGCTGTTTATTTTCATTTGAAATTTAAGGCACGGTCTGCTCCTTTATTAATTGAGATTCAAGGCAGCAGTAATGTGCCCATTTATTAATTGCAATTCGAGGCACTGCTAGGCTTCTTTTAGTCCTTTATTTATTGATAAACAATATCCTATCCTTGGTTTCTTTTTAGTTGTTAATCTAGATTTGAGGTGATGTTGAGTCTGCTTTTAAATTTAATGTAGTTGGTCTTTTGTATATTATCTTTTCCTTATTCTGCTTCTGCTTGTATATTATATTTTCCTTATTCTGCTTCTGCTTGATAAGAAATGTTGTCTTTGCTTCATCTCTTATCTTTCTCCTTACGTTGCTACTTTCTTGATAATATCTTCTTATGCGCAGGCAGCAATGAGAATTTTTAGTTTGAGAACAAGGATGAAAATGCTATAAATATTGAAGTTTGTTGAATTACTGAATTATAATCATGTTTGAGGGAGGGAGCAAACTGAGGTGAAGCGCACACACCTAGGTTGCATGAGTATGAGTACTAATACCAGTATGGGTATGGGTATGAGACATGACAAATTTGTAAAAGGTAGGTTATGGTGACATGGCTATATAAATATTCATATACAAATATATGGGAATTGATGCTTTATATGAGAACAAGGATGAGAATTAAATTTCCTATAACTTTTTTTATGTTTCTTTTATTATGTGGATTATAGATAGGAAAAGTACTAGTTTTTGAACTAGACATTCAAACAACCCTTCAAAACCATAATTCGAAACTTGATCTATGTCCAAGAAGTTTCAAGAAGTGGATGTGAAGTGTAAGATATATGCCAAAAAAATGCATGACAAGTATTTTAAATAAAAGCATGTATTGTATAATTGGATACATGCCCGAATAAATGTATGCATATATGTAATGTTACAGAAGGTGCTAGGCGGTCTAGACGTTTGAGCCAGCGCCTAGACGCCTAGGTGTACACCTAGGCAGCACCTAGGTGTACGCCTAGGCGGCGCTTAAGCGTTTGACTATTTTTAAAATTATTTAATTATAATAATTGATAAACATATGTGTTAAATTCATATAAATATGCCAAAAAAATAGTAATCTTACATCCATAATAAACCATGCATACTTAAGTACTAAATAGCTAAAATAATAACTAATAAGGTTATAGAAAACGCTAGAAGCCTTAGGCGTTGGACTCGATGCCTAGAGCTTAGGAGTTTTCTTTTTTATTTTTTAATTATAATAATCGATAGTAAATATAAATGTTATAGAAAGCTTAGGTGTCAGACTAGTGTCTAGACGGATTTCTTTCTTCATTTAAATACTAGTCGACATTTAAGTATTGGTCGAAGAGGTTTTACTGAAGGTCGGAGGAGAGAGTGGAGGTGTTGATATTTGGAGGTTAAAGGAATTTGAAGGAGGTTGGAGTACGTGGAGGTCGCAACATAGAAAATCACGATCAAGACCTAAAGGATACTGTCCACATCATTGTTATCGAGGCGCGCGTCCAGGGCGCGGGGCGCTGCGGGTTGGGACAATTGTGCCCCGCACCAGAGGCGGGGCACTGCACGCACATGAGGCGCGCACCTCGCGTGCGCCTCACGCACGCCTCGTGTGCGCTTGACACATGCATCATGTAATAGCTCTTTTAAAAAAAAAAATAATTTACATATTACATATTTACATCATGTAATAGACTCTTTATTTCTAGTTTCTAATCCATTCTCCATCTTTTCATGTTTAACCTATAAAAAGAAAACAATAATTAATACTTTAATATACCTGTTAGCTAATTGTAACTTTCTTCTCTAATTAGCATGCTAACTAGAAAATTATGAGCATGTAAATATGTAATTGTTACATCCATTCTCCATCTTTTCATGCTAACTAGCAAATAGCAATTAAGAATGCTAACTAAAAAATTATGAACAGTCATGTTTGTTAATCACGTAATTATTACTTAAAAATACATATATCATATTTTAAATGAAAATACATATTTCTTATTTGTTACTTGCTTGTTTTGTTTCATAGACTTTTGTTTATGTTGGAGATTATCTTGCATTGTGATTTGTGAAAACTTATGAACTTCTTTATGTTTTGCATGCTAATTAAGACTTTTTCGTGATTTAGTAGGTGAAATTATATTTCTTAGTCATTTTATGTGATAATTTATAAACATGTTGCTTATATGCTTCTTTGTCTTATGTTGAAAAATATTAGTTTGAGTTCTGCGCCTCAATTCAGTGAGGCGCGCACATCGTTGTGCGCCTTGCGTATGGTGCGCGTAAGGGGCTTTTGCACCCCTCATTGCACCTTGCGCCTAAACACTCCTAAAATCTAGATGGGCAACCTAGGTACCGCCTAGGCGCTAGGCGCTAATTAGGTGGCCTAGGTACCGCCTCGGCGGAGGCTTTTTAAAACAGTGCATATATGTAAGGAGTGTCCAAGGAGTTTGAGTATGGGTATAGGTACGGGTCCAGATTAGAAGAACGCTTGGTAACATAGACACATTCAAACTGAAGTTTTAGCATATTGCATTTTCCTCGGGAAAATGCAATTTCAGTCTTATAATGTTGTGCTTGTAAAGGACATGGACTTGTGTGACTTGCCAACTTTTAAATGAGGGGTTTTGAGGTTCAGGGTCTTGGACTGAGAAAGGCGATTTATTTCAGTTGTAAAAGGTTATGTGGGAGTTATATATTCCAAGGTATTGTTCTGCTAAAGATTTAGTATCCAGACCTACTTTGATCCATGCCTATTTGGTGGTTGGCCGGTGCCAATAGCCAATGAAGCAGAAAGCTAGATAAACTTTTACTGCTTATAATATTTTTCACTAGCCACATACGTTATACAGAACACTAGTCAGTAAATGGCGGTGACCCTTCAAGTGTTGGAGGCTAGGCTAGAGGAAGAAAGGATCATATCTTGCCCCTGCTGAATGATTGGTCCAGCTCAGTTCACGGGGATAATATGATCAATACATTAGTAAATGCCTCGACTAAATTTTTTCCCCATAGATTACAGATCTAATACTAAATAAAAGTATTCTAGTTATCATATTCGATGGTGTAATATAAAACCAGCAAATTATGTGATGCATTCATTTGTAGAATGATTGGATGATATGCCTTTTAATTGCTTACATGATGATTAGATATATGCATGTGTTGCATTCTTTTACATGAAATGTTGTCTATCTCACAGGGGACTCATTCAACTAAAACAATAAGTGAAGTCAGCGGTACTGGGAAAAAGCCCTATAATCAGAAGGGCACTGGAAGAGCAAGGCATGGGACATTGCGTGGTCCACAGGTCACTTTTATAACTTCTTTTAGATTCCTGTCCTTTTACTGCTCATGTTTCTGCTTTCTAAAGTGTAGTGTAAGTTTAGTTATCTTGCTTACTGTTTTAATTTTCCAATTTAATATGAAAATGGGAAGAAATTCCTCTTTACAAGAAGTAATATTTAGGTGCCTGTCCTCCCAATGGGACGTCCCTTAATGGGAATGATGTTCCTTCAAATATGCTCGCACCTGAAGTTGCCTGTCCTCCCAATGGGACGTCCCTTAATGGGAATGATGTTCCTTCAAATATGCTCGCACCTGAAGTTGGAACATATAACCTCCCATATCTTAGGGATGTGCTCAACCAACTTCTCTATGTTATTCTTATTGTAATTTATGCTTTAGCATAATCATTTGAACATCATTTCTCTTATAACAGTTTAGAGGTGGTGCCGTTATGCGTGAGCCTAAACAATGTTATCTTAAACGTTGGGCGCTTCTAGGCGTCGGACCTAGCGCCCAACGCTTAAACGCCTAGGCGGGCGCCTAAGCGGTTTCTAGGCGCTTTTTTTCTTTTTTTTTTCTTTTTTTTAAATGTGATACTTGAAGATTATATACTCAAAAATATATATATACTCAATCAAAGATGTATAAATACTAAAATATCAACACATATGCTATTCAAAACTATAATAGTCAATCAAACATGCATATCTGCTTCTCTATACAAATGGAAGAACCCAAGATTCCCTGTTTATGCCACAGTAGCATTTTTACTGTTACTGTAGCAATTCAAAAAATGTGGGGTGCTGTAACAATTTAAAAATGCGGGATGCTGTAACATGCTTACTGTAGTAATTCAAAAAAGCAGGGTGCTGTAGCAATCCAAAAACTGTGGGATACTGTAGCAATTCAAAAACTTAATGTAGCATTTAAAAACGAGTTTGAAGGAGATTGGAGGGTGTGGAGGCTGCAACACAAAAAATCACGATCAATGCCTAAAGAATGCAGTCTACGTAAGCAGACAATGCTCCCCTAAACACTCCCAAAACCTAGGTGGGCAGCCTAGGTAGACGTTAGGCGCTAATTAGGCGGTCAAGGTACCACTAGGACTAGGCGAACGCCTACGCGGACTAGGCAGAGTTTTTTTAAAACAGTGGGCCTAAACCATGTAGTCATGCAATCAAGCTGAACAAAAAGGTCTGGCAACTTGGACTGAAAATTGCTTTAACAGCTCGTGCAGCAGAAGGCAAGGCATGTCTCTATCTTCCTTTACTAAAAGCAGTTTTATCTTATATTTGGATTAAATTTTGCTTGGTTAGAAGACACCGCTTTGTGACAAATATTTCTGATGTTTCCAGTGATGGTGTTTCTCCTTAGCTGTGGTAAAATTAATATTTTTCTCAATTAAGAAAAATTAGATTGGCTATCTAAACTTCTCTTCATTGCTATCTACGGGATAGTTTAAGTTTTTGTTTAATCTGATAAATCGGCCCAGATCGGCTTACTAATAGGATCGCCCGATACGGTACAAAATTTAGCTTTAGCCAAGGATCGAATAAGAAGAATAACCGGAACTACGGTATCAAATTTCTTAGTAACGGTATCTATTAGAAATGAATTCTCTAACATTTGATTCCTTACCGGCGAAAAATTTATTAATTATTTCTCCTCTCTCAATTTGGAAAATGTCGTTATAACACATTGAAGAGTGCACTAGCCATTACAATTATCTGAACCAATTTGAGTGGTCTAGTGTGGGCTAATGCCTTTTGACATCTGAAAGAGCAGAAAACTGAATGGCTTAAATTAATGTCATCGTTCTAGTTCTTAAAACTCAAGACAAAATTGTCAGACAAGCAAAACTAAGAAACATGTATTTTCTTATTTTTGTTGTAATTGCGGTGCTAAACAAGTAATTGTTATTTTTCAAATTTAAAGAGTTTCAAAAATCTTGGATCTATTAAGGCTATAGGAGCAAGAGGAATTCAATATTTTTCCAACATCCCCCAGGGAATATCAACTAAACAAGAACTTATCCCTCACATTTTCTGCGGGGAAAAACAAATAGATTCACCATTCCACGCTTTATACAAATAAGAAAATTTCTAAGGAGTTTCTTATTCTTGCAGCTTTTAGTTTTTGAGGATCTTGACTTCCGAACCACAAAACAAAGAACATAGTAAACTATGTTTCTCAGATGGAGGAGACAAAGAAAGTTCTGTTGGTGGATGGTGGTCCTATAAGCGACAACCTGAAGCTTGCCACTGGAAACCTCCATTACGTGAATGTCCTTCCTTCAATTGTAAGTAGTTGAAAGCAAATGTTTATATGAGGATTATCGATATATTGATAGATTATAATGTTTTCGAGTGCCACTTCTGATTTCTATCTTGATGCAACTACAGGGTCTGAATGTTTACAGCATCCTTGAACATGATACACTTGTCATGACTCGGGATGTGCAGTAGATCGGATTGTCACAAGGATGCATACCCCTATCAAACGATGATTGAGGTCACTGAACATGAGAAAGGGAGTTTTATGATCAACCTGGTGTCAGAAGAAACTGAAATCATACGGTGAGCAGAAATGCTATTCTAATATTTCTTTAATATAAACTGCCTACCCAGTTGTCCATGAGCATAGCATCATTTTATTCTGACAATGTTCTAAATGATGTGCCTGAAAACCCATTTCCAGTTGTCCATGAGCATAGCATCATTTTATTCTGACAATGTTCTAAATGATGTGCCTGAAAACCCATTTGGCAACATGTATGCCAACAGAGAACTTTTATTCTGACAATGTTCTAAATGATGTGCCTGAAAACCCATTTGGCAACATGTATGCCAACAGAGAATGGGCTTGAGACATAAAACAGGCCAGAAGAAATTTTGTGTGAGAGTCACAATCAATGATGTAGTATATCTTTGTTATTGGATGGTATGAAATTGTTGATTAGCTTCAAACCCTCATGAAAATAAGTCATTAGACAGAGTGATGACATTTTTCATGAATGAACTTATTACGCTTAAGCAAAGTCAACCTCTAACAGTAGCAGTACTAGCAGTAGCATGTCGAGGGTCAACGTGTTAGTAAGGCGGTTTATAGCTAGAATTTTACTTGAACCGCCAACTTGTGGGCAGAGAGTTCTGGTACTGTGACCATTTTTCTTCCTCCCTTGATATCTGTGATTTCTTCGCGAAGTTCAATAGTTGTTAATGTGTGGTTACCGTCCTTGTGGCAACAAGAATGGTGAACATATGCAGCGTCGCAACTTTGACAAGTGGGAATAACTCTTGCTCTCCAGCACATGAAACTATGGTAGTATGCCAAGTACTCCTTTCACCCTTAGCGCATATACTTTATTCAGAGACTAGAATGGGGAAGCAACGTTGGTGTTTCATCCTTCTAATCTCTGAATACGGTATACTTGCTCAGGGTGAAGGGACCACTTGGTCAACTACCATAGTTGACGCGTGTTTCATTTGTGTGTGTTTGTTTACGTGTGTTTTTAGTTCTTACTTGAGGCCAGTCTATTTACTTTTTGTTAACATAGCCAGCCTAGTTTTCCTTCGCCAAAATGTGGCTTCTAAACTGATTCCATGTTGGACCAAATCCCCTTAGTTGAAACTTGGTCTAGCTCAGGATAAACTGGATCAGAATTGATTGTGACCCAATTTTGCTAGGATTTGCCATACGCAGTCTAAGAATTAGGTTTTGAACCAAGGCTGTATCTGCATAAATCTACTTTTTTGGAGTCGTCAAACACAACCTTTTATACCTTTTATACGTGATCTGTTACTTCATTCATGGAGACAGGATAAAATAGAACCCTTTCCCAATTTCTTTGTTGGGAAAGAAGTTTGTACACTAAACTGTCGTGGAGGCAAGAAAATATTGTAGATTAGTGATTAAAAATATTAATCATATCATAACAAGTGACGTACCGGTTTCTTGTTTACTTATTGCATGATTAAGTCATGACATATGATGCATGTTATTTTTATACTTACAATTATGGAGCTGGATGCCAATTCTTTTGTTGTCAATCTTCTGAAGGGAATCACTAATTGACCCTATCGGATATGAAACTCGGTAGTATTTAAAATTCTTAGAATGTGTAATATTTATCTTTTGGCAACTTTTCCACATAAAAAATTGAGACCTTGTGGATACATTTTGAATGGAAGGCCTTATTTTTCTCATCTAATGACAAAGACGTAATGCTTGGCAGAACAAGTTGATATTTAAGATTTAACTTTTTTTAACTTTTGGAGTGCTATAATCATCTCTATTTTTACTGTGAAAACAACGAAGATGATGACAATTTTTCCTTCTGTCCTGCCATTGAACCCGAAAAGAAAAAGAAATTGTATTTCAATTGGTTTAATTCTCAAACCAACTACTGCACATTAACTAGTTTAACTTGCAACATGCACGTTTATTCTTTTGCCCAACGTTAACCCATCTTCATTAGCCTCATAAACATTTGTCATTCTTTGAAATCCTTCACTTTTAAAAATGTCTATGAATGCTAGTGATTCTCCTAAAGAACTATGGTTTCTATTTTTTGCGGGAACATGATGCAGAATGGTGGTCTATTTATGAGGTCAAAGACTCAAGTTAGCAAAGATTTAAGAAGAAAACTCTTGATTTTGGTTAAGTGTCACTTTTACCCCCCACCCACCCAACTAATCCTCTAATCATCTGTTGCTTGTACCACGCTTCAGGATAATTTAGATTGGAAAAAAATGACACGGTATATTTCTTTTTCAACTGTAATAATTACATCTTTTATCTTAATAATTACATCTTTTATCTTTTGGCAGCTTGTCTACATAAAAAATTGAAACCTTTGGCCAAATTATTCGAATTGAATACCTCATCCTATTTTTGGGTGGCATAATCATGTCAGTGCATGAGCACGTGATTTGTCGCTAGGATACATTGCATCTGATTTATAAGCGCATATGATATATTGCTGATATTTACACAGACAATAAGGGGCTGTTTGGTTCGTTTTAAAACGTGATGGAAAACTTTTACTTTGCCTCCACGTCGGTTTTTTCACCTCCACGTCTGATTTTTTGTTTCCGCTGATTTTTTTTCCCCTGCTTTGTTTCGCTAGGGCTGAAGAGGGAAACCGAAGCACAAATCGCCTCCACGTCGGTTTTCTTTCCCTCCCCCGTTTCCTTCCCCAACCGAGTGAAATCGAAGAAAACTCTGGCCACGTCGGATTTTTTTCTTCCTCGTTGATTTCTTCAGCTAGAGTTACCTCCTTCGCATTGCTCCCGCCAGAAAGTCCAGCGAATTAATTCAGCAATCAAAGGACCGGAGCAAAGCCATCAGGCAACAGCGGCGCATTTTAGAGTCCATCACCGGCGTCACCGACATCAACGCTGTCATCGAGCAGGCCGAGGAGGCTGACCGTGTTTACACTGTCGATAACCCGACCCAAATCTCCTTGTTAATCTGTATGTCTCATTGATTTCTGCCCTCTTTTATTTGAAAAGATTGGTTTTTGATTGAAAAGATGTGATTTTGATTGTTTGGGATTAGGGATTTGGATGGGGTATTGTCGGTGGAGGAGATGAGGGAGGAGGAGAGGGAAGAGGAGGCTCTACACGCTGGCAGTCTCCAAGTTCCTCGAAGGTGAGATTTTTGTGATTGTCATCTTGGTGCTGAAAGGATTTCATGTTTGATTAGTTAATTATGTATGTAATTGCAAAAGAATGTGGATAAAAAAGAAATAAATGTTTAATAATTAATTAGTTAATCATGTTTGATTCTACGTTTTCTGGATGAACATTTAAGATTATGATTAGTGCCTAATTAGTGTATTTCTCTTGAAATCAGTTATAAAGTATAGTCAGCATCCTTTGTGGTGTTTTTCTCTGGTTCCTATCACTTCAACTGGTTCTGCATACTTACTCAGGATCCAGAAAATGCATTTCATATCGACTTCTATTAGTTTGTGAATAATCAGGTTCCTAGCAATAATTTTATTTTCGGTAGATATAGTTATTATGCCATGTTTCTATTAGTTTGAGAAGGAAATGTAGTGCAATTCCATTTGCATTGTTGATGCGTTTATTTAATTTTCCACTCTCTTAACTGAGAATTATTATTTTTAACAAGTGGTTTATCTACTATGGATAATATTTGTTGTCAAATGCTTCCTATTGCAAATGCATTGATCTCTTTCTTTCCAAATCAACCGAAGGACTGCGATGATTTCATGATCCCATCTTTTTGTTGATTGAGAAGAAAACATCACCAATCATGCCAAATATCTACTGGAGCAGACAACTAGATCATTCAGAATTTGATGTTAATCAGTTGCCATATCATATAAACTGATATAGATCTTTAGTCATAAATTCTGTTGCATCTTTACTTCTGTGTAGTTGATATCAAAGAGGCTGTTAATTTTTAGAAGCATACTTCACCAACTATCAAATGATCTTTTAAGGACAATTCGTGTGTAAACCTTGCACCTGTGATCTGCATCATATCATGTTTCTGCCTAAGAAATTACAACCTAGAAGTGAATATTATACTCCAAAAGCAATGGAGAAAACTCATGGTGATTCAGTTTATATTATTATGTAGTTGAGAGACGCATATTAGATGAAAGTTACAACACACAAAATTGGTTTGACATGTATAAACAGATACAGAGAAGTGTGAACTGATTACTTAAGGGAATTTCCAGATTTTTTTTCCTGTTTGATTTTGCATACTTCCTTTAATCTTTTCAATATTATGCAGTTTTTCTTGTTGCCAACTGCCTACGCCATTTCTCATTCCTAATAAGAATGTTGGATTATTCTCTTATCTTGCAGACCTCAGGTCACTATTGCAACAGCAATGATGTTATACCATCGCTTTTATCTCCATCAGTCTCACAGAAGGAATGAATGGCAGGTAAGGAATCATATATGTTATGCACTTATGCGTGTCACGTTAAACTTGTTACTGCATTGTCATGCAATTAACTGTCTGTTGTTCTAAAGAAACATATAAACTTACAAACCGATTCAGATTTCATCGAGTTATGTTCTCTGATGATATTTTTGAGTACCGGGGCAAAATGCCCAGGAGATTTATTAATTAGAGAAAATAGATCCAAAATATATATACATGAAGAGGAAGACAGAAGAACTGCAGTAGGAGATGAGTAAAGATTAGAATACAAAAAAGACTAATATCACTTTCTACATCAAGCTGCTGCGTTGCTTCGAGTCAAGCACCTATTTCGGTGTAAGGCGGTGTTGTCTTACTAAAGGAAGATGATCATCAATCAGGATATGAAGTGTTTTTATCTTTTCAAAATACTTTTGCATTCCGTTCATTCCAAATATCAAAGTAACATTCAAGGATGATAAAATCCCTTTGACTAACGATATACATCACAAAGCGCTAATATATTTTTGAAATTCCTTACAGACTTCGAACCACACTCTGCCTGCAATATGAACCCAGTTACATTGCAGCTGGGTCTCTTTATCTTGCTGCTAAGCATCACAATATGAAACTTCCAACAGGGGATGGTTGCATTTGGTGGCAATTGTTGGAAATCGTGCCAAAATAGTTAGATGGTAAAATAACTTTTACCATCTTTACTAGTTTGCGAATGCATAGCCACTATCTTACATTTACTTAATTGGGTATTCTATTACAAATTGTAGAGATACTTCAACAAATGATGGAGTTATTGGGTTACAAGAAAAGACCTTTGGTATCTCCTGCACTCGAGAAGCCAAAGGTAATCCAACCTCCAATTGTGTCTGCTGAGAAGGCAGAGGAGCCATCAAGCAGCCCAGAGTCTTGTGTATTGAGCAGAGATGGGTCTTCAAGTAGAAGCCCTAGTCATGAGTTTAGTGAGGAAGCTAGCTCAGCAAGACTCGTAGAATTGAAGAAAAATAGGGAAGCTCAATGCGAGCTGAGAAATTCTGAAAGCCCGGATGGTGTTGTTGAGGATTGCAGAGGGGAGCATGTCCTTAATAAGATCAACGTGGACAAAGTCAAAGCATTGATGAAGACGCGAAAGAGGAAAACAGAAGTTAATAACAAGTGTATACAAGCTTTGGACGATTCAAGTGAAGAATCTTGGATTCAAAGAGAGTTGGAAGCTGGAATAGAGTTGGAAACCAAGAGGCAAAGACAAGTTTGAGATTTTGTAGGGAGATTGAAGTTGTTACTGCAGATACCATGAAATTATTATGAATGGATCTGAACTTTAGTGGATTATTTTAAGCGCTGTTGTTATTAAAAGTTATGGCTGCAGTAGCTAAAATGAGCTCAGTATGTGTTCAGTTGTACAGAATGGCATTGTTCAAGCTCTATAAATCATTCAATTATAAATGTAATGGTTTCCATCCATTTCTCACAAAGTTCTGTGAGGATAGTTGTATGTACGCCTTCAATTTTTCTTTTGATGAATGTGTACACGTTCAATTGTACATTTTTTTATAGCTCAAGCTCTGTAAATCATTCAGTTGTGGGTGAAATTAGGGCTGTCCAAATACCAGCCGGCCCGGGCCCGGCTCGGGCCCGGCCTCGGCCCGGAAATCCGGGCCAGGCGTTTGACCGTTTTGCCCCCAAAACGGTCAAAAACGGCTATTTTATGAGGTTATTTTGGTCATTTGTCTAGGGGGCTGGTTCTATAAATAGAGGGGGTTTACATTTGATTTCTTCACACCAAAAACTCATCTCTTCTCTCTTATACTCTTATACTTTCTCTTATACTCTTATACTCTCTTATTTATACTTTCTAATCCTTTCATCAAATGGCTTCCGGATCTGATTATGAAGAGCAAAACCTATCTCCCGATCCTGAAATGAGTCCTCCTACTATGAGTCCTATTGGGTCTACTCTTACCGAAGTTGATCCCGAATCCGGTGGCGACGAATCTGCACAAAGAGCTCCTAAAAGGCCAAGATCCGATGTATGGAATTTTTATGAGAAGATCAACATCACCAAGGATGAACACGGTAGGATCCTCACCCAGAAGGCTAAGTGTGCATTGTGCGGCAAGATTTTTCAAGCTCATCATAAGAGCGGCACCAACCACCTCAAACGCCATTTAGATAAACACAACAAATGCCAGACTCCTCAAGGTGATATCCGACAATCTATGATTTCTCAATCCTCCTCTTCTGGTAGTCTCGATAGTTGGAACTATGACGCTGTCAGAGTCAGGAAATGCGTAATCAGGTTTATCATTCTTAAAAACATTCCTTTTAAATTAGTAGAAGATGATGAATTTGAAGATATGTTTAGAGAAGATTTTTATCCTGCATTTAAAAAAATTTCTCGTCAAACCTGTCAACGTGATATTTTAAAATATTATCAGCAGAAACAAGAAAAAATAATTTCTTATTTTAAAAATTTAAACTGTAATTTTTCTTTAACTTCTGATATTTGGACATCTAGAGCACAAACTGGATATTTATGTATCACAACACACTGGATTGATGAAAATTGGGAAATGTTTAAAATAGTTGTTTCTTTTATTGCAATAGAAGAGTCACATACTGGTGCTAATGTTGCAAATTTAATAATTGAAGAACTTATGAAATTAGAAATTTCACAAAGAATATTTTCTCTTTCACTAGATAATGCAAGTAATAACAATGTAGATGTTGATTTTATCAGATCAACTTTATCATTGCCATGTCATGGTGATCTTTTTCATATTAGGTGCATCTGTCATATTTTAAATTTAATTGTTCAAAGTGCATTTACTGAAATTAAACCCATGATAGAAAAGGTTAGAACAGTTGCTTACATGCATAGTGCTTCTGAAAAAAGACTTAAAAGATAAAAACAATTTTGTAAAAGAAAAAAATATAAAGCCTAGACTAATTCCAAAAGATGTTGACCATAGGTGGAATTCCACATATGCAATGTTAAGTGTAGCAATAGAATATAAAGACATTATAACTGATTTTATAAACTATTATGCTTCTAGTTCTAGTTCTGCTAGCACTTATGGAATAACTGAAGATGAATGGACAATTATATGTAATTTAAATGAAATGTTACAAGTTTTTTATGATGCTATAATGTTATTATCTGGCTATTATTATCCAACCATTACTTTAGCTGCTTTACAAATTTTAAATATTCAAATTTTTTTTGGGAAATATCGTATGTATAATACTTTTGGACCTATGATTTTTGAAATGGAGAGCAAATTTAATAAGTATTTTAGGCCTATTCCTCATATTTTTGGTTTGGGGGTTCTTATTGATCCATGCTTGAAGGATATTGGCCTTCGAAGTTTGTTACAATCTTTGTATGGTAATCAGGTTATAGACTTAGATGATGGAACCACCCTGAATGCTACTACTCATCATTTACTTATTAGAAATTATTTTCAAACTTTATATGATGAGTATGCAGTAGACATGGTGTAACTACACAACAGTCTACAGCTTCGGTTTCTTCGAGCTCATCCCGA